ATATATAACTTCAGATACGGTTGGATATTTAGGGCAAAGACACTTGACATTTGTAAATTTTGTACCACAAATTCTCCAGATTCAGAGTCTTTAAATTTTACACCATAACTTTTTCTAGGATTTAGATTTAAGAAACTGCCCCTGTTTTGAATCAGTGAACAAAGCCACAGGGTGTACTAGTCAGTCATTAGTACTTAAAATTTAATAACTAAATATCGTGCTTGCAAAGTACTTAAAAGGAGTGAAAAGTATCTTCACATGAGGCATATTGTGAAGCTTAATTTGTTTCAACTTGCTAAGTAGATCTATTTAAAGATCCAAAGATTTGCCTGCAGGGAATATGGTTAAATGACTCAAGGATGAAAGAGAAACATCAATGAGCAAAAAATTCCTACAAAGTTGGAAAGGATTTGGGGAAAACACAAGGATTCCCCCAACAGTCAATAACAAACACCTAGTTGTCTCACACATGCTACAATGAAACGGAAGGTGAACGTGTGAAACAGGGTAAGAACCAAGATACAGTGTGTGTAAATCCATCCTGATAATCAGACCATCAATAGAAACACATCTGTTAAAATGATTTTGAAACATCCTTGCAGGATGGGGGAGAAGGAGACAGACACAGCATCAAAGAACAGCACATTCTGATGGATGTAAAATCATATAGTTTAACTCTTAAAAACTTTCAAATTCCCACAGTTTACTGAAAGTAAACAGGAGGCTTGTACACTTCAGAAATAGAAACCCTGTGCCACACTTGACATGTCTGAAATGTGTTAATGATAAAGTTCTCCATGGAAAGTGCCTTTCATTCTGCAGAAGTAGTGAGCACAGCAGAGAAGCTGGGTGGCTGTCCCTTTAACATAATTTTAAATGTCCATGTCACATGCTGAGTATAGGGAATCAATCTTTTTGTTCCTATTTCATGGCTCTATATACTCAGGCTTCAAAGACATTCCAGCTATTTAATGTTCATTATTCTTAGATTTTTTTTTTGTCCTAGGAAACAATGCCTAGAGTGAATCAGTGAGATTTATGAAAGCTGACAACACAAGGGCAGTGTGCCTGATTTCATGGAAAGAAAGATGTGAGTAATAAAGCATGAGTTTCTAGTCTTTTCCCTCCTGCATCTACTGCTGATGAAAAGAAGGATGATGGTGTTTAGTTTACCTCAACTTTACATTTTTTTAAAGCGGAAAGTTTTTGAGGTAGCTCTGCTAAATAAGCAATTTACAATCCAGGTTTTATTTAAAACTATCTAGAAAGGGAGGATTTGGGATTCCTCAGCAACACAGAAACCTAAGATCAACAGATTAGCAATGTGAATGCAAATAACATACGAAATTTCTACTTTGTTTGATGGACACTATGTGTCAGGCACTTCTACAAATTTTGAATTCATTTGATTCACATAGTAGTCATAACAATTCTATTAGGTAAGCATTATCATTCCCCAGATTCAAGTGAGAAAGTGGAGGCCTAGAGAGGTGAATTATTTGCCCAAAGTCGTATAACAAGTAAAGTAATTCTCGCTGAGAACTTAACAATGATTACTTTTTAGAAAGACGCTCTATGCTTTCCTAGGTGTCCTCAATATATAGTTTTAATTGAAAGTCATTCAGAAGGTAACTTTAAAACTAAACTGCCCAGTGCTCACTTCGGCAGCACATGTAATAAAATTGGAACGATACAGAGAAGCTTACCATGGCCCCTGTTCAAGGACGACATACAAATTCGTGAAGTGTTCCATATTTAAAAATAAGTAAATAAATAGATAAATAAATTGCCCAGTAATGGCAGGTGGGTTTATTAAGAATTTTCTAAGTGTAAGATACTGTGCTAAATTAAAAAAAAATCTCCAGTTTACTCCAGCAATCCCATAACGACAGTACCATTTGCACTTAGATTAGGAGACTGACCCACAGGTGGCTAATGCTTCCCCATGGCTGCATGACTAGTGAATGGCACCAAAGAATTCAAACCAGGGTCATCTATCCAGTTGCTCAAAAAAATATCACAGTGATTTCTTAACCATTTTATTCATTATCTCTGGCTCTTCTTCAAAGTCAAAGTGGCCCTGAAAAATTTTAAACTGATTCAGGCCACTGAGGCAGGTACAACAGTGCGAACTAACAGACTCACAAAAGAGGATCTCCAGAATGGCTTCAGGGAGTGTAAGAATGATGGGATGAGCATTCAAAGTGAGAGGGACTATGTTGAGGCAGATTAATGGCAATGCATCCTTTTACTGTAATAAATTTTTAAATTTAAATTTAAATTTAAATAGTTACTTTTTAAAACCACACCACAAACATTCCTTGAAGCACCAATATATTTATTGGTTTTGTTTATTCTATCTACAGGGTGTACACTATGTATAGTATCAACATTTAAGCTGAAGATACAAACTATTTGAATTAGAGTCTAGACAATGAAACTGATGCCTGACAACATAACTGTTATCAATATTCTTTTCAAAAAGAGGAGTGTTTGAGTCTATGAAATTCATTGTATATAACACACTCCTTCATAAACATCACAAAAGCAATGTTTTGTAAAAATACTTTTTTAAACTAGAGAAAGACTGAGACTTTATGATACAGTGATTTTCAGGGCATAAAATTGGGAATAAGAAGAAGCACTTCACCGAATAGCTTTTCATACCATAGCAGTCTTTGATTCTATGAAAAGAATATATACCTTTCTCCTGTCATTAGAAATCATCTCTAACAAGAAAAAAAAAAAAGGAATGGAAATTGAATGAGTTCTTAAGGCAAGTTCTAGGCTGATGAATTCTACTTAAAAACTTACTGAAATTTTATTGTAACCTAAAGAAGCTGAAAATTAAAACCGATTATGGAAAATTGTCTCAAAGCCATTTAAATAACAAGTACTTGGACTTCCTCTTCCCCTGAAAATTTCTCTTTTTTGTATGTTATCTTGTTACTGTTGGAAGTGAATGCTTCATAACTCTCTGTGAACTTTAATATTTTTTAGGACTTAACAGTAAGTTCAGGAATCTATCCTGCAAGTGCTAATTTTAAGTAATAATGGAATTTTAAATTCTAGCCATGAAATCTCTGGAATCCTGCAAAAGCACTCCTCTCAGACCTCTGCCCCTCCCTCAATGTCCTCTTGCTTAAGGTGAAGACTTTTTGTGTTTGGTGGCCCTTCAATGATTGCAAAAAAAAAAAAATACCCCTACACCTGTCACGCCACTCAAGACCCTCTTTATACAAATGCCGAGTGAGGACAGCAATGTGGTCTCAAAAGTACTTAATCCTAAACCCACCCCCTTGTGAGCTACTGTGACAGAAAAGTCAGCCAAGAGGATTTGGTGAAGTGTTAGGAAATACCCATAGATAACTGAAATATACATTCTATCCTTAAGTGTAGAGAATGATTTTCATTTCATTCAACTCAATCATTACCATAAACAATGACAAGGAAAAATACATTAATGTAAATGGCTAAGGACTTTACATCTCCACAATGAATGTTTGTTAAAAATAAAAAAACAAGGTGTGTGATGCGCATGGTACCAACTACCCATGATGAATGTAATCATTATACACTGCAACATGGACTAATAAATAAATAAAATTTTAAAAAATGAATCAAGGACCTATTTGTGGAACATTCATTTTCATCTCTGAAATTACAGTTTTCTGTTTGTTCCTCAGTCCAGGTACCAATTAAAGTTATTGCAAAAGACACACAGTCTATAGAAATGGAAGAGTCTCTCTTTGAGAAAGACTTCACTGAGGAGGGAAAGGGCTATATTGCTGCCTTAAGCAGCTAAGATTAGAATTTACATTTCCCTCTCACATGCACAAAGTATGAAATAACTTCTAACACAGAAGTAAATAACTCATTGGCATTAGACTATTGGTAAGGCTTTTGCTGGCAAAGACACCCTACAATTACTTAGGACCACATACAGCTTGACCCTTCCGGCTCACCCCTTTTACCTCTTGTTAGCAAAAGCCAGATCTGTGCAACTTGTCCAATACATTACGAATGAACCAATCCAAGCCACTGTAGAGAACGTGTTTTCCCCTTAGTTAAAATTCTTTAAGGATGGCCCACCTTTCCAGAAGAGGAGAAGGAGGCCTTGAGTTTTACCTGCAGTGACTTCCCTCAGGACGCACAGTCAGTGGGGGAGAGGGGCAGCAGTTTAACCCTTAGGTTCCTCCTCTAATTCCTATGATCTAGACACCCACTTCTTTCCTCATAGCCACACCTCTTCATTCCCTAGTCTGGGGATGGACACAAAGGTGGCAGCATCTGACCTGCCGGGTACTTACAATACTCTACACGCACTGATTCTATTGTGTTCCTATGTTTTGGCCGTGTCTCCTCTAATGTCTCTGTAAGTTTTCAGGAACACGTATCATCAGCTTCAGACTCTACAGAACTACAATGATTACAAGGACTGAACCAAGAAGCTGTAATCTCTAAAACATACTAATCAGATGCAAAAGTTCTGGGCAATCTATCTCAGGGGACTGGGAGGGAACTGTAGGCCACAGGCTAACCGAGCTTATTTATTAAGCAACATTGTATTTTTTTAGACTTCTACAGAAATTTGCAGGTTTTCTTTTTTCTTATTTTAAAAAATACTATAAAATGATTTTTACATACTATCCAATATAGTCAATGAAGCAGATATTCTCAAACAATATTAATGGAGAAAAATAAGCTTCTTGGATATGATTTATCAATATCTAAACATTTTAAATTGTTATCCCAGCAATACCCATTGTCAGATTAGCTCCTAAAGAAATAACTGGGATAGTTCAAATACACCCCAAAACTTTTACCATTGACGTAGAATGAGCTGATAATCTAAATCCAAGATTCCAGATTCCTACAACAGGGTCTGGGTCAGCCAACCCCATTCTTTCTTCTATGTTTCTTACTGATTTCATTTTAAAACAGCAATTTCTTTTCCCATTTGAGCCAATTAAGATTAGCCCTGTGAGTGAGTTACATACCTTTATTACATGATGCTTTTCCTCGAACACAGGGATCTTAAACATTTGGCACCAGTACGTCGTACCCTTGTTTGGGATGGGGACCTGTCTTAATAAAAAGGGCAGAGAGAAACAAAGTCACATTCTGTTGACTTGCTGTTAAATGCAGTAATATGAAAAAAGAGTCTTCTACTTGGTCATTAAACTCATCCCCACAATCATAAGACCTAAAGAAACTTACGTCTTGATTTACCAGGTCAAAATACGGCAAGGCTGTTGGCAACACATTCGTGTTCTCAGGGTTGAGTAACCGTAGACTCTTGGTGCCCCGGTTGGATTCATGGTACTGGGGGCCGGTGTCTCCCACATCCTCCTGGTGATAGGCCCAGATCACTCTCACCGTGCTATCCTGATATCCAGAAATAGGCATGTTATGTCGCCTAAGAGCAGTTTCCTGATCACTTACTCGAGTGTAAACAATTTATTTAAAGCAAAATATAAAAGTGAAGAAAAGAGAATAATATTGACATTTGGAGTTCTTGACATGATGTATCATTAATTTCATGCATTGGGTGCGTGATTAAGGGTGCAAACAGGTCAGATCATTTACAGAAGGAGTCATATTTCTCAGCGTGGAAGTGTTCCAAAGCAGAGTGAAAGATGATTGTCGTAGGAACTATATTCACCCATGGGACAAGAAGAAACCATGGCCATGCCAGAATGCTCAACTAGCAACTAATAATTACCAAGCAAAAATTCCTATGAAGCAGCAGAGACTTTGAAAAAAAAAGACCTATTTAATATAATGGGGATTTTAGTATAAATAAACAAATAGAGTGAAAATTAAAATTGCCATGACTTTTCACAGAGTTTTTCTTAGGCACTGGTCCAGTCCCATGTATGAATTTACAGAAATGGAAATACAGAAGAAATTGTCTGGGTTTATGTATTACAATGTAGTCAGTCCACACAATCCCTTGGTGAATTCTGGGAGTCTCAAAGGACTAGCATCTCCAACTAGGAAAAGTATTGTGAGGTTTTCCACAGAGTCACCAGAAGACATTGCCCAGTGGGCTGTTGGGCTAGAAAGGTTTGCTGGGATGTAAAGAAAACTGTTCCGTCCTCCCACAAAGAAAGGTGTTTTTGTCAAATCTTTGTAATAAGAACTTCGAGAATAGAAAATAAAAGCTATTTATTTTAAATGTTCTCTTTGCTATATTCTTTCTCAATGTCAAATAATTATAACTATAATTATTATTCTAATTAAAGCATAATTGCACTGTGTATCAGATAAAAAGTGATCTATGTCTTAGCATGTGCTTTTTTTCCTGCCATTTTCACTCATTTTTCTGAATGTTAATCAAAATTATTTCAGATTTTTTATATTGCCTTTTTATCAAATAAAAATAACTTGATTGGCCTGTATAAAATGAAATTGTTGCAAGCAATTTTTGGACCTTCCTGAAGTGCCACATGAATTAAATATCCTCTAAACATTTCATTTGCATACACAAAATGATATTAATTTTTGCATGATATCTGAAAATGAGAAATCTTGTATCATATACCAGTAGGCTTGATTTTAGTTATTTACAAAGATGAATCAGTTACAAATCACATGAAAGCTATTCCAATTTTTTTTCATGCAGTAAATTTCTTCAAACTTTTAGCTATCAGCTATTTTTGAATTTTATATAGAAACTAAAACGCATTTATGAGTAAAAGCACACAAACTTTAAACAGCTCCTCAGAACATCAAATTCACATATAAATTACCTTTACTGAAATGTATAGGTTTAGTTTTTTGGGAGGAGAAGGCATTTCTAGAGATTCAAAAATATTCCTGAAGATGATGTGACTTTTTTCAAAGATTATCTTTCAGTGTTTATTTTTATTTCTGTAAAATGTTTCCCAAACACAAACAATTTATTCAAGCTTGGATCCACTTATACTCTCCTTACCGTTATACTCTTGTCATTTATGTCACATGTATGCAGTTCTCTGGTAAATTCAATTATTGTGTGTGTATCATTTTCCATGGCATACTCCAGGTGGTAATCTTGCTGGGTGTCTTTTTTCAACTCTTTATTTGCATTTGTAAAATAGTCCTGTGAAAACATGGAAAGTAAAATTCAGGATATTCTAAAATCAAAGTGTAAGGATTTTAAGAGAATTTACAGGAACTTAAAGCTTCATTTGGGGTGTGCTTACTACAAACATCCTTTATTTAGACTATTTTTGTAAATCTTGAGAATTTCCAACAGGGAGGAACAAATTACTCTAACTAAAGAATCAATTATAAGAAACTAGTTTACAGGAGACTAGTTTGAGGAGAAGTCAAAGTAGATTATAATATCATAAATAATCCAAATATTGAACAAATATTTGAAGTCACTGAGTACTTTACCTTCACTGAAAGAAGAAAGAGGGGAACTTCTGCACCACGTAATGTCCACCCCCAAACTAAACTGTCCAGTTAGCAGCCAAGCCAGAGGGCACTTTCTGTTATCAGGCCCTCACCATCCATAAAAGCAGAGACCCATAGGAGAGGGTACAGGTTGCTTCAGGTGATGTGTTAGTGGCACATGCTGATTACGATGAAATGCAATGACATATTCTTCAAAGAAAGGAAATGAGTTGAATTATAAAATACCGAATAACTCAAGAAGTTCTGAGTTTGTGGATTAACAATAACCTGTGTACTAAATTTCTTCTGTGGTGTCCACCACTTCCGGGAGGCAGACAAGTCCGACATAGAAAGCATGGACTTTGAATCAAAAGGCTAGGCTCGGACTCCCAGCTGGCCAGCTGGCTCCCACAACATGAGTCTTGTCCAATAGCTGAAGCCAAACTGTGAGAGCTTCAGTTTTAATATTAAACAAATGGACATAATATATATCTTTTTCATTGATTTTAAAAGATGAATAAATGAAATAATATGGCCAGTTGTATGTTTTCCACTCATTCTATGTTTGAGAAAATGTAATATACAAGGTCTTTAAATTATGAAGGTCAAGTGATTGGCATTTGACATTTTTCCTTTAATTTTAATTTAAGAATAAAGTTTAAATTTAAAAATAATTGTCAAGTGCATATAAATTTTGACATCCAAAGTCACATATTCCTTAATATGTGAAAGTCCCAAATTGCTTGCAGTGCGGAGTCTAATCCTTCTTCACCCTGGTAACAATAATGACAATTTATGACTATGCCCTGTGTATCAGGACTTGTTACATGTATTAATTGATTTAGTTTTTTATATTGTGTCTATGAGATCAATTATATTTCCATTTTGCAGATGTAGACACTCAAGCAACATGTCCAGGACTATACAATTGTTACATACACAACAGTCAAGCCCTGGCAATCTGATCCAAAATCTTTTCTTCTCCCCATTTGCACTGCAGTGCCCATTAGTTAAATGAGATGGGTCCATTTATTTTTGTTGTATTTTTTTTCTGTGCCTAGCAACTAGTTATATCAGTTTTGTTTTACATAAAATCTTCTACAGTTAAAGTTAGGGTTTGAGAAAACTTTTATTATGAAAATCAAGTTGTAATTGGGAAAACAATTTAAATGCAATACTCATGATAGTGTGATTTTCCCTTTTTTATCACATAGATTTTTGGTATGTAAATGAAATAATGCCTATGGGCAAAAAGAGATTTAGATCAGTTAACTGAGCCCTTATGCTGAACTCATATTTCATTACATTATTCATGCAATTATAGTTTTTGCAAACACAAACAGTACAATATATACTGCAATCAGTTCAAAGAGTGGAATAATCATGCTAGTACATTTCCAAAACCATCAATTCCATAAAGTATCCATTTTGCTTGCCAATTTTCCATTCATTCTATTCCCATTTAAGAAATTCCTTCCAATTTTTCATCTTTTCCTGGCTGTCCAGATAACTTAGCTCTGAGAATAAAGGATGAGATTCACTCACCTAATGCTAAAGATCCAGTTGAGCTCATCTACCTTTTGCAAACCAATGAATACCTCATAATCAGGAAGGATAACTGCCAATTATGCCAGAGCTCTAGACTCCTAGGAGAATTTGCTATCCAAAAGAAGCTGATAATGATAACCCCAGTGTTATGGTTTATATCTAGATGTCCCCCCAAACTGTAATGCTCTCCTCAGTGGGGTTTATGGAAGGTATTTGGATTACGGGATCACAATAACTGCCTTGCTGTTTGGAGCTCAGTCTTATATTAGAAAATACAGGTCACCAGGGGTGTGACCTAAAGGAGTGGGTCTCCCTCCCTCACTTCTCCCTTGTTCTGAGAAAGTAGTTTTTTTCTACCATTCCCCATGGCCATGCTGTTTCTTCTTTAGAACCAGCCAACCATGGACTGAAACTTCTAAAAAACATGAATCAAAAATAAACTTTTCCTGCTTTAAGGTTTTTTTTTCTTTTTTATCTTTGAAGTTGGATCTTTTTACTTTTTGTTTTATGAAAAATAAAATTTTATAAAAAATAAGAAAATTACAATAGCTAATACATATTTATCATTATGTTCAAGGTAGTCACTCAGAGTATAAGACATAAACCACAAGAATTCTTACAAAAAAAGAAAAGATAGTAACACAAAACTGTCTTTTCAATGAACTCAGGTAAGTGAGACAAATTAATGTGCATATGAAAATGTTTCTGAAACAACAGAAACAATCTGCTGGAAGATAAAATAGGTACAATTCTTGAAGACATGGTTATATGCAAGGAATTTCTGAACAGAACACAAGAAATAATACCAGAGTCAACAAATGGGATTATATATCAAATTAAAAAGCTTCTGGACAGCAAAGGAAGCAACCAAGACAGTGAAGAAACAATCTAAAGAATGAGGAAAATGTTGGCAGCTAATCCATAGACAGAAGATCAACAGTAAGAACACATAAAGAACTAAAACAATTAGACTCCCCAAAATAAAAAGCCAATCAAAAATGGGCAACTGAAATAAATCAACAGTTCTCTGAAGAATTACAAATGGCCAGCAGATATATGGGGAAAAAATGCTCATTATCTTTGGTCACCAGAGAAATGCATGTTAAAGCTCCACTGACACACCATGTTACTCCAAGAAAAATGATGATGGTCAGAAAATCTAACACTAAATGCTTTAAGCTTTGAGTGTTGGGTATCATTTCTGATGATATGAAAGGAAAAATGATTAAGATACTCAATGAGGAAAAATGTAGCTGGTTCTTGTTAAATCTGATACTGAAATGTGAACTTACTTAACTACCACTATAATTCCATTATAATTTTTTGCACTTTAATTCCATTATAATCAAAATGTTTTTATGATCTATTTTAGAGATACCTTCAGTTTTGATCATAGTATATATCTCAGTCATCTGAGCAGTTTTATTATTTACCTGAGATGGACACTTCCTAATAGTTGGAAATCCATGTTAACCCTTCATTTTCCAGAGACCTCCCAAAACAAATATTCTAAATCTCTTTTACGTAAGATTCCAAAATTTACCACCACAGTTTATGGTCTCACTTCTGACTTCATAGAAAAAAATTCAGCCTTGATAAGTAAGGGTTTTTATTCTGTCTCCTTTCCATCTTAGAAAATACCCACTTTATGAAATCATAAAATATAATAGAAAGTAGGAAAAGAAAAAAATTAAAAACTTGAGTAAAAATAAATAAACATAAAAATGAATGAAAGGAAAGACATTACCATAGATTGCAAAGACATTAAAACTTAATAATAATCTGACCACCTTTGTGGCAAAAATAGATAATTCAGATGAGGAATAAAGTCCTTGAAACACACAAAGCAGTAAAATTCATTCAGGAAAATACAGATATTCTGAATAGTCCTACAACTTACTCATATATTTTTAAAAAAAACTCCCTATAAAAATTGTAAGCCAATATGCTTTTACTTGGAATTTTATTAAATATTAAAGAAGAGATAATGTTGATTGTTGACAGATTCTTCCAGAAAATAAAAGAGGATGGATGACTTTCCAACTCATTTTTTGACTACAGCATTACAAATAGTTAAAGACCTTATGAAAAATTTCAGACTGATATCTCTTACGGACCTAGATAGAGATTTCTTTAAAAATATAAATAGACATATCTCTTAGCAAATAGGACTTCGCAATATGAGAAGGATAAGATATCATGGCTATGAAGAGTTGTTTCAACATTAGAAAAATCAATCATGCAATTTATCATATTGAAAGTCTAAAAAATTTACACAATAATCTCAAATGCAGAAAAAAAGAACAGATTCATGGCAAAGATCTCTCAGCAATGTAGGAATAGATGAATTCTTGTCCAGATAGCATCATACTTAACAATGAACAACTGAATTCTTCCCACCAAGTTGAGGAAGTTCTTGGAACAGGGCTTCCACATTCTCTACGCACAGTAAACTCCTTGGCTGTTTTCTGCCTCTGACAGTTCATCTCGGTTGTTCTCTGGCTCTGTTTTCTCCTCTGTTTCCCTAAGAACTTCACAGTTCTGTTTTGACTTCTGATCACCAAACTTCTTTGAAAATCTTGCCTATTCCAAGTTTCAGATCATTACCTTTATCTGAAGACTTTTCACATTTCCAGTCATTGTGCTTGCAAATTCTACTATCATTTCAAGTGCAATAAATAAAAATGGTACACCTGATGATGGTACGCCCCATTATGGTACACCTGATAATGGTACACCTGATGATGGGAAACTTGGAATAGTCAAGATCACCCTCAAAAAATCATCCTCAGTATGTCACTGGATTTTATTCAACAATATATTGTATAACTTCCTAAAATCCAGATATTCCAGGTTCCTGAAAATTTGGCCTATCCTAGCCTTTTAGGCTAGATTAAACCTATTATTAATCTTGCTATTTGACCTCCATTTCTATGTATCATTCCCCAAATACTCAATCTTTTTCCAGGTCTTTGTTTTTGTTCAAATTCTTCTACTCCATCTTCCCTACTCTCTTCGTGCAGCTAAGACACCTTTTCCACTAACTTCACATGTTGAATCTCTTCCTTCCCTTCAAGGTTCATAATGTGTTTCTTCTATGCAGTTGCCTTTAATCAATGAATCAATTTGACCAGGAGTGACTGTTCCTTTTCT